AATTCTTTACTGGGGATGCCCTATTTCAGACCCACGATAATCTCGAGCATCTTGCCATGATGGAAAACGTGTGCGATAGCCGGATTGACACACACCTCGTCCAGATGGTCAACAAATCCGCATCACGCAGCAACAGCAATTCTCCTGCTAAGTACGTCTTTGAACGATCATTGCACCAGCGCAGGCGCCCTAACAAAGCAACCAGATATTTCAAACGCTCGAAACTGGATTACCCTACGACCGAAACCACTAGGGCTTCGCGACGGTTCGTTAGGAACATGAAACGTTTAAGTGTACGTGATACCTATGTCCTACTTGAGAGGCGAGTTGAAAGCAATCTAACACAGTAGCAGGATATCATCCCCATAACTAGCCCTTTCCTGCGGCTATTCTTGGATCTTCTGCAAAAGATTTTCGTCTATGACCCAGCGAAACGAATCACAGCTCGCCAGGCTCTGGCACATCCGTGGTTCCGAGAAAATGCCATCCCCGACGATGGAACCGAGGCTCTGAAGATACGGCTAGAACGTATGAGAGACAGCGACTACCACACGTCCCGGGCGCCAGTCGCAGTATAGTGGACATCGAAACACTCCACTTGTTGGTTTTTTTCAGCAAGGAAACATGTACATTTCATCGGGATCCAGGGCATATGATATACATATGGTGCGGCTATAATGATCAAAATCTTTATTAGCGTGCATGCAGGGTGATACCCAAACGGCGTTTTTGACTAGCATTAGGCGGATGTATCCAAGAGTGCAGTCATTTCTTATAGAGAAATATGCCCAAGGACATTCATGATGAAGGGCATGAACGTACAAGATGACCTAAATATAAACCTTGCCCCCCAGGCAACCTTGCCGTGATTGATGAATGGACCGACGCTTACCGATAGACTCTCGTGTCTCGTTTTCTGGTAACTGATGACTGCGTCAGATATCGGACGCAACTACTTAGCAGTCGACGAAGCAATTCTGGTCTCTTCTGGTCAGTATATCTCCCCATTAGACTGAAGCTAACAATACTCTTATCTAACAGATTCTGCACTTGTCTGCCATTGTTCTGTTGTCCCTCGGCTTGGCAACGATTTGGACCCCTAAAGTAACGCTTCAGGGGTTTAGAAACGAGCAACTACTAAGTACACAATGCCCAAAACTCGGACAAAGAATATTATCACATTGTTATCGAACTCGATGGTTGTTACAAAGCATTCGAATTATGGAGAAGACCTATTGTTTATTTGTTCAAGAGGGATCGAGGTATATGAAAGGCGCAAATCGAGCTGATTCTACAATCTCCCAGCTTTCATTGATAGCTTTATTCCAGCGCGGCTACCTACGTATAATTGACTCGCCAGCCTAGCCAATTGCAATGTTATTTTTGGAAGCCATATCATTTGACTCAGACAACTCTTTACGAAAACTACTAGTGTCTCGGTTACCTGGACTTCCTTCATGAATACCCGAATCCAAGACTTGTCGGACGACGAAGTCGTCCGCATCACTGCCGTGCTTGCCCGCCGTCCCGAGTACGGGATCGCCATACCATCTAGACGATGGCTGCAGAGGCAGGAAGCGAAGATAAAAAATCTCCCCAAAGAATTGCTCAGGTCGAACGTGTTCAAGCGCCTGGCGACGAAGATCGTCGAAGGCATCGATCCGAACCTCGTCGACCCGCGCGCCATACTCTGTGAGACCCATTCCGCCCTCAACCCTTACCTGATCCGCAGACTCTTCATCGGCCTCGCGTACGAAGTCACCGTGTACACGGATACACTACGCACATGGCCCGGCAGAGCGCATGAGCCGGAAATATCGGCGTATATCGGCCGTCTCGACTCCATTGCGGCACTGTGGACGGAGCCCCAGCTCTTCCACCAGATCTACGGCGCGGCCCCATTTGATGGTCACCATGTGTATGTGCGATCAGCGTGTGAAGCATGTTGTCTGGCGGCTGTCGGCGCCAGCGGTCGTGCGCTAGCGGACCTCAGGACGGCCCTGCTGAACCGCATGGAGCGACGGCGAGATAAACCCGGCGGCAAGAAACCGCGTCTGTATCGCGTGGTGGAAGCCTGGATCGACCACCTGCGGAAACACGAGGAAGTAGTCGACAGGCCGGAGGAATGCAGGGGCCTGAGCGAGGCTGTGCTCACTGATCTAAGGAGAGCCAGACCGCAGATCGATAAGTGGAAAGCGGAGCAGAATACGAGACGGGCGACGTATAGCGAGCTCCAGAGGACGAAGTCGGGAGATGTGATAAAGCCGGTGGTAGGCCATCGGAGACGCACGAGAGATGGAATCCCCGTCGCGCTGGCGGACAAGGATAGCGCGGAACTGCATCGACTGTCGGCGGGCATGCAGAACGTGGATATGAATCCGGCGCGGAGCATCTACCGGCCTGATAGCCTGTCTGGGTTCTCGGAAGTCAACGTCGCGCAGGCGGTGGCGCATAAGTTGCCCCCTGGTCCGAGACTTCCTGTGCCTGAGTTGCATGGGGATAGCAGCGGCAGGAAGCCAGGCGAAGTTCCTGGGGCGTCTAACGGCAATAAAGCTCCTGGAGGTCGCTACGATTTTGAGGATGATGAAGGCAACGAAGATGATGAACGCGATTACGAGGACGAAGAACATGGGAGAGCTAAGGTGCAGAGCTGGTGGAGTAATATTATTGCTGAGTCAAGCTTGGATCTCCCGGGGGAGCAGGAGGATGGGGCCCAGCTGCGTGATTGTAGATCTGTTGTGTCTATGGTGCATCCTGCTTTTCGCCCTTATGGGATTGCTAGCTCGGGTGATATTGCGTCGTCTGCTGTGCCGCCGCTGCTGAATGTTGGCCAAGATGGTAACAGGGGCAGTAGCGGTGGGAGACGCGGGACGTGGCCTGCGAATGCTAATGCTAATGGTGTTGTTGATAATAGCAGTCGCAAGACGGTGGCGAGCGAGTGGACGAATTGCTCGGTGTATACGGTGGAGCCGAGCCTAGCGTCGAAAAAGGGAAAGGGGAAGGGAAAGGGAAAAGAGGGAGAGGGAGAGTTCGATGCGTCCTCGGTCAATTGGCCGGCTCCGCCAAGTGGTACTGGTACTGGTCTCAGTCCCGGACGGAAAGAACGGTATCCCCCTACGGCGCGCGATAATAAGGGGCCAAATCGGAAGGTCTTTGCGGGACAGGAAAAGAAACAGGATGCTTCGAAGTCGAAGGGGAAGACGAAGGAGAAGGTGGAGGCCTCGGCGGAACAGCAAAGGGCGAATTATTTGAAAGAGAGGTTTAAGCCTCGGTATGCGGATAGTGAGGCTGAGGCTGATGATGCTGGGGATAAGGGGAAGGGTAAGGAGAGGGAGAAGAGGGCAAGTACTCGGACTCGGCGCAACAGCTACGCGCCTGCATCTTCCTCTTCAAACCGGAATAACGATCTAAGTATCGGCAATCCGCGCCCTGCTACGCGTCCTACGAGCTCGGTGTATGATGGACGGAGTATCTCGTCGGCGCTTAGTTTGTTTGATAATCCGCATGATCATGGTAACGGCAATAGGGACAGTCGCGGCAACGGCAATAGGGACGGTAATGGTGGTAGACGTGGTGGGCCGGACAGGTATAGTGTTGCGTCTATGTCGGGCGCTCCGCTGAGTACGGAGAGACTTGCTGCGCATCAGGCTGCTGAGGAGAGGAGACGTGCGAGCCATCAGAGTCAGAGTCAGAGTCAGAGTCGTGATGCTAACCATCGTGAGAGTCGCAGTAGGCGTCCGGGTAATACGAATGTGCCTCCTACGGCGGGTGCGGCGTCCGATGTTACGCAGTTGGGGGGCTTTCAGGGGAGGATGTAGATGATATGATGTGAAAACGCATCTACATACCAACCTACCTACATAGGTAAGTAGGTACTTGTCCATCTGCACATGACGAACGAGCTGCATCTATTATCTAGGTATGCATTCATCAAGACATTCATCTGGGGGTAAGTGCAACGATGAATGTGTGAGCAGTAAGTCTATGAGTAAACCTACCTACCTTGCCCCGAGAGTGAGACTGAGACTGAGAGATAGGAGGGTATCTAGGGTATGTTTGTTTCTGGGTTTTAGGAGTTTGGAGTTTATTGACATTGACCTACAGCAGTAGCATTAGTATTATCAGTATTAATACCATTGTTATTATTAAGATCATTGGTGTGATGTGTGTTGTCACTTGTATTGATACTCACCTAAGTAGGTTGCTCCGGTAGTTCCTGGGCATCCTGAGTGTATTGTTACCGATATCTAGATATATTTATATTTCGTGAATCATAGTTGCATTATGCCTTTTCTTTCTTATATTCCTAGGTATTTATTTTCATTCGTGCTTAGGTGAGCGGGCAAACTTGGGATGCAGGCTTTATCTCACTCTTTCCGTCTCTTCCGAGTCGGCTTGATTGTTTACTCCCTTCTTTGTTTTTCCGCGTGTGGACATATATACCAGGAGTGCCATTCGTACAGGAACACGAGGGAGGTGAGGGGAGGGGGCAGGGGGGCAGGGGGGCATTTCTCTCTGTGTACGTGTGTGTATGTATCTGTATGCCTTACTGTGTAATTTTTTTCCTCCTGCTCATATAATATGTCACCGGCACTAGCAAATTGAAACCTATTGCTTAATATAGAAATCTTGCTCTAGCTATCTAGTATCTATTATTCATTATGTGTGTGCATCTACCTAGATCGTGTGAATAACGAGTGGGCATTGCAATGTTGAAGTCTGGAGTGAAGTCCTTGCTTATTTTTCTTGAGGGTGGAAAGGAAAAGGAAATGGGGGCGGTGCTGGTTGATGCGAGCAAGTGTGAAGGGAAGGGGTTGGTTGATTTAGGTACTTGAAATAGGTAAGTACTTATGGTGGAAGAATAACCAGCACTAAGAGAGGAAAAGTTTACTTATATATAGGCAAGGGAAAGGTAGGATCAAGGGCTACTTGATACCGCCTATATAATAGAGTCTGATTCCTTGAACTTGTACAGTATGATAACACTCCGAATGTATGAGGGGCGAATGGTCTAGGGGTATGATATTCGCTTTGCATTGCGACCGTCAAAGGTCCGAAGCTTGCGAAGGGTCCGGGGTTCAAATCCCCGTTCGTCCAAACTTTTGCTTCCAACTGTTCCCCTCCTTTTTGATCTTTTCTTTCAGGGAGGAATCAATTCTTCTTGGTATCTAACATAAATAAGTTTTATTCGGGCTGATTAGGTAGGTAAGCATCTCTTTTCCATAGTTGATTCCTTTAGGGCGGGTTAAGGGTAGCTCCTTAGTATTAGATGCCTTGGCTTGCTACGAGAGCAACGCAATTCGGAAAGCGGCTGTTAAGTGCGAGCTAAACAGTGATATTTATATAGCGAATAATGTTTTCCTATAATGAGTACATGTCACGATGTGTCGTTGCGTAAGGTAGGTACCTAGGTAAGTAAGTGTTTGTTTTGAAATGTAATGTGAAAAGCGCTACGGTTGTCCTTTATAGGTGCTGCAGCATCTCAGTTCTCACATGCTAATTTGCACCGCGACAGGAGCTTAGCTTAGGTAGTAGGTAATTGAGATTGTGTTTCTTTTTCGGTGAGCATAGAATCTGTGGGAATAGAATTGGATCATAAACTGGTTGATTGAATGCAAGACTGCGATATTCCTGGTGCTAGACTCCGGTTAGGGGTGCAATTGCTACCAAGCGTCTCACGAGTCACAATCGCCATGTGTCTCTTTCGTTGCACATAATGAGTCGTCGGAAAAGGTTCCGGATCTTTTGAACAATGATGCATTTGAGTTGTGAGTACAATTATCTTACTTCTCGCGTGCGTCATGTCGTGTACTGTACTGTAAATACTTCGTGTTCGGAGGAGGGCAAGCCCGGGAAGATTACCCTCGTTCTATGAGACAGTGTCAACTTGCATTTGAATACTCGTGCATTCACTGCTGAACAGCCCGTGGCTTGAGTGATAACACGTTCTGACATGTAGATAGTCCGTCGTGACCATTTTGAGTGAAAGTGATGGATAGCAAGCCATTTTGAGTCGCGGCCAACCAAGGTTCGGGGGCATGAGAGCGAGTATATTGATCACATCACAGTTATCACCTTGGATACTAGGAAATCGCATCAGCCGCAAGCATCCGAGTAAAGATGTTAAGCTCGAGCACGCCCATTCTCCTTATTCCCTTTGATTGAGGGTGTTGCGAGGCAAGGTAGGCCTTCGCCTATCTCAACTCTAGTTTTCCGCTGCGGTGAGCACATCAATTGTTTGTTTTCGAAGGACAGGGAGGCCATCATTACTAACTACTAGCCTCAAATATCAAAACTATGGGAAATCTCTTCTTTTGCGTATATGTCGGTGTAGGTGTAGGTAGCAACTACAACATACTCCCATACGACTTTTATACTCAGTACGAGTAACAACCTTCCTTCAGCAGTATCATTTCAATTCACTAGGGAAGGTAGAGAGGCGAGACCACTTGCATGCCCCTTATATGTTTCACGAGTGGCACTACATCTGTTGGATGGGCGATGTCGTGCCTGCATCTGCTTACCTAGCTGCCGACTCAGTCAATCACTCTACGTACGATCTCAAAACCATGAACACACCGGTTTCCCTGCTCTCAAGCGTCGTACTTCCCCAATACTACGGACAAGCTTATTTCCCGAAGATATTTGAACGTGAGCGACTGACTGCGGGCACTCGAGCAAAATCTGATTTCACTGTCCCACCCCTCATTAGCCAGAGAAATCATTTACTAAGAGGTTTTGGATACATGACATGGAAACGCGTTATCCATAGAGTTATTCTTGGTTGCATTGGCTTAAGTGTAATAAATCATGACATAAGATCAAAATAGCACAGGTCTAAAGTGTTCCAGGGCGAAAACAGACAGATAGCAGAGAATGGCCGTCACGGGACTGTAATTATGGTCAGATGTTGCAAGAGCTAGACATGTTTAGGTAGCTATTGTGACCTAACATCTGTTACTCTTGTTATAGCGATAGCTGAGGATTTGGCAAGTTGGTGGTGGTACTCGTCCAACAACGGGAAAACGAATGATGGTCGACGAAGCCACATGTTTTGGGAACTCTCGTGGATGCGAAGGGGAACGCGGAGATCCTAGTCGTTGATCAACAGAAACCAACAGTCTCTTTGAGGAAGATGGTGGTACTAGTGGTATCATACTGATAGAGGGAGAAGTGAATATAAGGCAAGAGCAGTCGTCGATATCGTCGTCACTCTGGATCCTTGATGACTTCGCTATAACTACGTGGTGGCAATCACTGCGAGGTATTGTCAATTGATGCCTACCAGAGAGGACACTTTGCGAGACATGTATTACCAGTGCACGGATAGTGTCACAAAGATGGCCGCAGACGCAGACGGTCAACTCTCCGAGTTGATAACGTTCTATCTTTTGGTAGTGTTGCGGTTAGAGCTGCGGACCTGATTCGTCGCAGATGACAAGGACGAGGGCGAGGATGAGGGTGACATTGATGATGATGTTGAATCCCATCGTTAGAAGAAGTAGGGGGGAGCAGTGACTTACAAGCGGCTTGTCAGACGAACAGGCGAAGGGGACGATTATAGCAAATTCTGTATGTTGTTCTTGATCCTAGTGCCATGGCCCTTCGTTTCTTGCTAGTCGTTGTCGCTGCCTTTGAAGAGATACAAGGAGCGCTTGCGCGGTTAACGATATGCATAAGGTAGATGCAGACAATGCCAAAACCAAATCAAGCCAATGGGATGACACTCCGTGATTCGCGCTCCCGATTCCTAAAGGATCATTTGATAAATCTACAATATCTATGTATCCCTAGTTTGACCATGCTGATCTACGTAGGTATCTAGACTGGCTTTTTCAGGTCGTCAGGCATGATCGCCTTAATTGAGCAGGTGACGAGTGAGCGATGAAGCAATCGCTACTACCGATATGAAGACGGCAATGACACAGGCATCACGCCCATCTCCATAGATGAGATTCCGACCTCGATCACCATATCAAAGATTTCAAGATCCGTATTTCTAGATTTAAGTATATATCGAAAATCATGAGGTACCGCCACTCGCCCTCCAAGTGGGATTATGTATGAGCAAACGATAATTAGATTGGATCTCAGCCTACGCGAATCCTTATCAAGAATTAATACCTATTTGAGAAATAACTTACCTTATCGCGAAGCCTTGCGAATACGATTTCGTAATTGCTTCAATTAATTATCACGAGACGCCAATTTTTCACACAAATCATAGTTCCACAACAAAGTATATGAATACGTGAACTCACAAACACTACATACATACTACTTTCCGATACAGTCATCTACGAGCACGAGAAAAGGCGTGTTGAGGATCAAAATCAAATTGTATCAACACAAGGTATGTTGTGATCTTGCGATCTATCTATCTACTCCGACAGCTATAGCTACAGCCACAATTGGCAAGGGTATAAATAAACACTGGCTATGCTTTAAAGAATTGACCCCCCTCAGGAATCATGCTGTTGATTCCGATATCGCCGTCATTTCAGGTCGTTCCATTTCGTAGTCTCATCATGTCTCGTTTCCTTTCATTGCTTTTTTTGTGTGTGTGTGTGTGTGTGTGTGTGTGTTGGGGAGTTTGGATATGGGACCGTGTCAGTCGAAACCCAGCCAGGGGCTTCGTGCATCGCATTACGTTGTATTGCGTTGCCTTCTGCTGTCATGTGTGTTTAAGCAGGTTTTGGTTTTCGTATTTGCTTCTCTTACTTCCCTCTCGCATGGAGCGAGCACTCACTGCATCCGCATTCTCAGCCTGTCGTATAGGCGAGTCAGCCTATTCCACCCAGTCCCGGCCTTGTTGCTCGAGGGCCCATCGTCTTCTCATTTTTTCGATGAGGCATGCCAGGTGGGGGCCTCCGACGCGACGCTCCTCGCGTTCCGCCTCTTCTAGCGCTCTTTTCGTGTTGTCGACTTCTTCGAATTGCCAGTCGAAGGCATTGTCATTGTCTTGGACCTTGGTTTGGTCCTGTTGCTTGTGTGGTTGCTTGTGTGGTTGCTCCTCTGGCTCCGGGGGCGACGATGATGGTGTTGCATCTGGCGAAAGGAGATTTGATGCTGGCGTTGTCGCCGCCACCGAAGGTGGACTCGATGTGGACGAGTCCATTTTCATTAAGGGGGACCGATTGGGGGTCAGTCACCGTTGTGTTGTTATTGTTCTTCTGAGGAACAAAAATGGCCGCCGCCGGGTTTAGGCGGAATTGAGTTGTTGTTGTCATTTGGACAGTGAGTCTGGGTTGATGACGGATGGGTGATATACTTCCCTGTCGTCTTCTTCTCTCTAGCTGGTGGCTAATGACGATCAGAGAAGGTGATTCGAATGTAATTAATTAATCGGCGGAAGAGCCGTAGGCGATACGCAAGAGTATAATCGAACAGTTGCTAGTACTACAGATGGAGTGGGGAGGAGTTGGTTGACGGTGGTGTGTGTGACGAGGGAAGGATTAATCTCGACAAACCACTGACATGCTCTGGTATTTATACCATAATATAGATATATGTGTCTAGATTCACTTATGAACTTAAATTGTACGAGCTGTAGGGTTTACCAAGGTATCACGAAACTCGTAATTGCATGTCTGCAACTGCCAACTTAGTTCCAAGCAACCACAGAAAACACGGGCTTCACAGCAGCCTGAGGCATCTGTTTTGCTTCCGCAGAGTTGAACACCCCTTTGGCACCACGTCTGATTCCAAAAAAAAAAAAAAAAAAAAGTTCATGTGCGCGGACAATAATGATGAGGATTAATTGATGATTCTAGATCAGAGGAAAACTTCACATCGCATCGCATAGTTTGAAGAAATCGACATGTAAATTACAAGCCGTAGCAGTTGTGATACATTGGAATCGCCATTACGTCCATAGCCATTAGCTAGCTACCTTTAAGTTGAGTTGCAAGGTGTGGTTGAAGTCTATTCAAGTCCAACATCGTGAGTCTTGGCAGCTGGCTGGCTCTCCGAGTACCTACCTCGGGTACAGTGACGTAAGCTTAGTGTTTGTGCGTTGCTCAGTTTACAGTGGCAGCCCAACCGGTTCTCGCAGGCACAGGTTGACGGGGGATGCGGGGCAGGTCCCAGCCTAAGCC